ATTGAGTTGTGTTTTATTGTGTTCTCATCTATTGTAGAGAACAAATTTATATTTGTTACATTGTGAGTGTTGTAAGGTTTTCGGTGAGCTAGAAAACCGAGAGTGTGTTGTGAAGTTTTCGGTGAACTAGAAAACCGATTGTGAGGAGTGACGTTGATCGGTGAGCGTTGAAAACCGATACTGTGAGGTGTAAACGTTATTCGGGTGAACGTAGAAAACCCGGTTGTGATAGTGGATTTCTCCCCGGGAGTGGGGAGCGGAGACGTAGGACGGAAGGTCCGAACTCCGTGATCATATCTTGTGTTTGAGTGTGCTTTGGCGTTTATTTATACTTGTGTTTATAATTCTTGTCGCCATTGTCATTAGCTCATTATTTATATGATCCACTATCTAGTTCATATTGTTTACCCTTGTGTTAGTTTATATATCATTGCATATATATTTCATCATATAGGATATATCTCATTGTTTACATTGCTTATCCTAGCTCATATATCTTGTGGTATTTCATACTTGCTAGGATAACTTGTTAATTAGTTTTTATTAGCATTTAATCGGATTAGATTAGCATAAGACCCTAATCACCCCCCCTCTAGGGTCTAACACGCAAGACCCCGAAGTACCCCCCAGGAGCCAAGTCCTGGCAAAGTCACTTGGCTTACATTGCTGGTGGTTCTTCCTAAGACTCGGCAGGCGGAGCTGTCAGTGCCCTATCAATTTCTTCGGTAGGGACAGTCAGTTTGGCCGCCCTCTCTTGGTCCTTGGCTATAGGTGGCTTGGCAGATATGCCGAGTAGATGCTCCATCTTATGAGATTCGGTATACCCCTTGATTATATCCAACGCCTCCTTCTCCACATCCGACAGTCTCCCTGTCGTCAGAGCCTCCCTTATTATCTCGGGCCAATAGGAGCGGCCCAAGTCCGAGTCGTCCCCTGAGACCCAGACAAACCTCTCTTTCCAATATTTATTAGAGTCGGGAAGGTTAAGGATGATCTTGAACTTTCCCACCGCCTAGAAGTGATAATGAGCTTCTTTTTGGTGCACCTTGACACTAATCAGATGGCCCAACACGTTCAAGGACGGTTCGATCCCCAGCCAACTGTAGATTACCACGTACCCTACCAACATGGCGATGGCATTTGACTTCATCAGTATCGGCGATACCCCCAGGGCGGTGAACACATGGCGGAGGAAGAGATGTAGAGGCAGGCACAAGCCAAACTCCAGATGCTTCAAATAGAGAGGGGCCTGGCTATCATCATGGTCGTAAACCACCTGCGATCTCGTCGAACTTATAACTGTGGGGAATATCATACTTCCCTGGAGAGCTCTGTTGAGGCAGCGTCACCTTTGAGTGGATCTCAACAAGCATTTATTGTCTAGCATTGAAAGCAGTGGTCTCGGAAGAGATAATCGGAGCACTTGGCAACTTCGAATTCAAAATTTTGAAAAGCAATAACCGCTTCCTCGCCATGATAGCCCTATTTATAGTGCAACTACGGCTCTAACTGGTGGAATCTTAACGGACGAGCTGCACCACAACCGACGACCTAAATTAATTCTAGAATTCGAAGCATCTTTTCTCGAATCGAGACAAAGCGTGCTCACCTTGAATAGCCCGCAATCTTACATGAAATACAAAGGAACAGCGGTTGAAAAGAATTCACTGAGGTCAACCACGTCCCATCCAAAGGAACTTTTCAGATCCCTCATTAATACCTCTCGTGACTTAACAAGAATTATTATATTTCACTCGGACCCGGCCTAGACTGACTCCAAGTAAAAGGGGCCAACTGTTATAGTATTTTTAGTGATGAAAAATAATCTCTAATCAATGGCAGACAAGTGTCCCACGTTATGCATAATCAAGTCAGCACCTCGAGATAATCAGAGGCCCAACTTGGTCGACTCGACACACCGATATATTGCAAGGACGACTAGAAATGTATCACATGTCGACGACTTGAAAGTCGGTACGTGTCGTCCCCAGGTTGAGTCGACTACTTAACCACTCCACTCCGCTGACTAATCGGCTGACTCCTTGCGATGGTGACTCAAAAGGCGGTACTTCTCGACCACTAGATGAGTAGAAAGGTGACGAAACACCTCAAGCCTCGAGCCCCTCTTGTGCACTGATGACCAATCACCTCGCAATAAATACTATTAAATACATTATGGGCGTCATCCTCTGCCCCAAATAGTATTTATGACACATCGGACCACGTCGACACCGCACACCCCCCATCACTTCGTATTAAACACCAAAGTGACATCTTCTCTACTCGTCGACCGACATCTGTAAAGGTGAAGCTAACTTGGCTGCTGGCCCATACCCGACCGAAGTTACCATCCTACCCTCCTTCCACTACTATAAAAGGAGGTACTATTTTTCCATTACAAAGTAAGCTTTTTTCTGATTACTCTATAAACTAAAGAACTATTGCAGTTCCTTTTACTTCTCCACACAAGCATCTCACTGACTTGATCGTCAGAGGAACAACTAGAGAATCACACCCCACCCTCTTACGATTTGTTACTTGTGCAGGGAAGTACATATTGCCCAATGACCAAACATTCGGAGAGCTAGAGGACCTCCGTCAACTTAATTTACTCTATTCATTTGATTGTGTGATTCCATACATCAATAAAGTTGATTCCCTTGCCTGGGGGTTAAACAAGCAAAGTACCAAGCAACACGAGATGTGGTTCAATTTGTAGTGGAGATTTTTGACGTAGATGCTGAAGGGGTTATCATCAACATCCACCAGGGTGAGAACTTTTTTCTCCTTATAACTGTCCTGTGGATAATGTGTATCAAAATGGTAGGCAATTCTTGAGTTGGAAATTTGAGGCAGTAAGTGTTGGGAATTTATCAAATAATTAAAAATTATAGCATGAAGTAAATCCGAAATTAAAATAAACAAGAGGTATGAAATTCAGGCCTGACGGGAGCAGTCGTGTATTCACTGCCCTAGAAGATTGAGAACCCGTCTATCGCCCTGGCGCAGATGGTTCCCTCCCCCTAGCGGTAAAAACCCCCGGAAACGGCCGGCCTCTACACTCGGGCGAGAGTGCAGAGCTTCAGCTCAGATGAAGGAAGTTGCCCATAAAATAAAACTAAAATGTAGATGAAAATAATATGTAGGGGAGAGAAGAAAAACAAGAGAAACTTGTTGTATATTTTTTTTCTTATTATTTTGAGCTCAACATACGGATATATATATAGGGTTGGAAAAGACGTTACAAAACCCGTAATTAATTACGTAACGTTCGTCGTAAATTTTGTAACGTTCCCCATAATTATATATCCGTTACATATATTTTAATTGCATGTTTTAATTACAATATTTATTATAATTCATGAAGGCAAAATTGCCTTTTGTTAACAAAATATCTAAGAGTAAGGCATCAAGGCAACAAGATGGCTCAGTGTTTGGCATGCAAAACTCAAGAATGCTCCAATGTTGATGGGTATGAGGATAGATGTTTGCTAACCATCAGTCTAAAAGCAAGAGAGAAGGGGGGTGGGGGCATAGAGCAACGGTAAGAAAAATCGGAAAAGATTTATATCGAGGGCTATGTTATATTGGGATAACTAATGCTGTAATTTTTTTTTCCTTTTGAAAAGAAAAGAATTAAATTCTATGAAAGAGTTTCATCCTGCTACCATTACCCATGGTCGTACATCTACAACCTACATTTCCAGCCAAGGATATAAGCTAAAAACCTTTTTTTTATGAAAATTATAAAAAAACACGATCAGAACGATCTTGAACTCTGTATTAGCCATGACTTCTTGTCTTCTTTAAGATACTCATTAACAAAGTCTGTTTTTTTTTGGGGGGGTCTAAAAATAATACTTAACGTCTCACTTTTCAATACAGTAGAAGGGGGGGATTTTCCACACAACTTCCAAAATATTTTTCACTAATGGCTATATGAGTCCATCTTTTTTCTTTCTAAATTGAAGGGACAGTAATTTTCTTTCACTTGTTTACATAAAAGATGCTAGTGACAATCTATACGTATCAAATCAAAAGTAAATATGAGGTTTGCTTTGGTGCTCCGAAAATAGCTCTTTTTTAAATTTTTAAATTGACAAAAATAAAAAATCAGTTAAGATAAGAAAGGGGTATTTTAGTCTTTCCAAATTCTTATCTAATTGCTTTATATCTTGAAAGCTTCTGTTGCTTCTTCCCTTTCTCATCGTCAATCTCTCCCTCTCAAAATTTTTTTTTTGCAATTGATACTCGTGTTCGCTAATTCCTGTAACATTCTGTTACTATTTTAAAAAGGAAAAAAACGAAGTGTTTGCTAATTCCTACTTCTGATACTTCTACTCCTGTAACATTTTGGAGGGTACCTTTCATATGTCGAACCCCTGTAACATTAGAAAAAACGAATGTTATAGAGCTTCAACTCCAAAAATTCGTTTTTATTTAATATAGAAAAAAAACGAATGCTTGCTATAAAATTTTTTAAAAAGGAAAAAAAAGTTACCTTTCGTGACGTTCTCTTCAGGAGAATTTTTGGAGGCGGTTTTTTTCTAATGGAAAGTGTGGAGATAACACGGTAATTATAACTTGAAATATTAGTTAATTGAAGAATTCTAACTAATAATAAATTTTGTTTCTCCCCTAAATTATATTTCCTAAAATAACCTTTTTACCTAATGTTAATTACAATTTTGGGTGTGGAACACTTCATAACCGTCAAATCTATCTACCTAGAATTGTGAGAGCTATTTTTAAGGAATTTATTTACGAATTTGCCATCATTGCTCTAACTAATCTCTATGGAGCACCGAAGCTGTAGGCAAAAGTAATTAGAAGTATAATCTTGTTAGGCCGAGTCAACAAGTCTTGACCCGATTTTATCTCTTTTATGACTAGCCGTGGTCCACGTTAACGGTAAAATGATCCCCGGAACAACTCAACAGGCCCCCGAGCATTCCGACCAACGCTCCGGTCCAATTTAACTCAAGCACGGTCCGAGGGGACAAGTTACTCCCCTCCTCTCTCTCTTTTCCCTCTCTCTCTCTCTCTCTCTCTCTTTTCTTTTCTTTCGAAGAAACGCTCTCGTTTCTTTGCTAAAACCCTAACTCTCTCTTCTTCCTCCTCCTCCTCCTCTCGATCGCCGGCCAAAATGTACTCGGATCCGATCAGCGACCGGGGGCCCATCAGAGATCGTCTCGGCTCCAACCCCTTCAATCAGCGGACTCTTCTCCAAAGGTAAACTTCGATTTCTTTGCTGTGAAATTAGCTCAGTTTTGGTCTCTTATTCTAATATTAATTACCCAATTCGTGCATTTCTTGTTTTCATGAGATTTCACCCAAAAAAACGAAGAAGAAAGAAAGAAAGAAAACCCTGTACCTTGGTGGGTCTTGCGAGAAAGCCCCTGAACGCTCTTGAAGATTTTTAATTCTACTAAAATCCTCAAACCTATTGAAATAATTTTTGAAAACTTTGGACGAAATTTTGGTACATTGCAGCTACTGAATGTAGGGTATTAATGTGAACATTGTATTCTTTCAATAAAAAGAAAGAAAAGAAACGAACATGACATTGTATTAGTCTGAGGTGACAGCACTTGTGTTTCGAGAATGCATATGAAATTTCAGGATATTGCTTTTCGCAATATATTTCATAATAAGCTTTGGTAATGATGTACACATATCTTAAATAAGAAGTTGAATCTCTTGGTAGTGTGTTGCAATTCCTTCTACGATAATATTTGTTCCAATTGTTATTAGGTGGTTTTTTGTCGGTTAAATCATTATTGGAATGAAATATATCTTGAGTAAGTTGTTGGCCTTTTTATTATGGATTAGCTGTACCATGAAACAGCTTCCTTGTCCATATAGTTGGGAATTGAGAATGTTTGCTCCTTACATAGTGGTGCATTTTAATTTTGTCTAAATCTATATGAATAAACTAATCTTTGATTGAGCGACCTTCAGTTTATCATTTTATCACCCTGAATTGTGTGTATGTATATGTTTGTTCAGTGGTTTGTATTTGAGCGCTGTCTGTGATGAAAAGAGTTCACATATATCCAAGGAGGATGAAACTCTCCAATCATATGCCTCACTGTAAACTAGAACCTCTTGCACATCGAGGTTCCTTATCAAAATCTCATACTGCCCCACATATTATCCAGTTTGAGTGCGTATGTCCTAACACGCGTCTGTGTACGGCTCTGACCTTAAAGATGGAATCTCAATCCTCAGGTTGTGGATTGTATATTCTCTCCATACTTTCTCACAAACTTTCCAATTTGAAGTTTGAACATCATTTCGACAACAAAATTATTAATTCGGGCATTTAATTTCAGCAATTGCTATCTAAATTTATTGGCTAAATTACGGAAAAGTACCAAGAAATATCAAGGGATTCATATCTGACAGTAGATCATCTATTCATGATTTAGTTGTAAGAATTGCTATTAGAAATTTGGGCAAAATTACAGAAACCTACCATGATGTTTCACTAGCTTCCGCGTAAACTACCATTGACTTTCTAGTGTACTAGACCACTACCTAAACTTTCTAATATCCTCCATCCATTGGCAATTTAGGGAGAGAAATTTCTTTTAGTTCCCCACCTTCCCACTCTTCAACTTTCTCTTTTTCTTTCACGCCACTATCTTCTCCTCATCTTCTTTGTCCGCCGTCTTAATCTGAATCCATTTACAACCTTTGACTCCCATACTCCTCCATTCTCCAATCACATTAATACCCTTCCCATCAAACAATTGTAATCAAGCCTCACTTTAGACCTTCCTGATTTCCGTCTCTCCATTTCTATCTATCCCCCTCAATTCTCTCGCCAAAGGGAGCAACAAGAGGATCTTGAAACAATCACACAATGGATAAAAACTTCAAGCATTTTTGTCATTTTGGACTCAGTAATTTGACATTTTGAGGTTTTGGGAGTCATTAGCAATCTTTACAACTTTGGGAACTTTTACACTCGAAGTTGAATTTCAAAAATGCCTGAAGATTTCCTAGCTATGTTTTGTAGAAGAAACACTGAAAATTGTGATTTTTAAACGGGAAGCATTATGAATTAAAAACTTGAAACTTCTAGAACATGAACATCGTACACTAAACTTAGCAAGCATGCATGTAAAGGCATTCAATCCAAGAGGATATATTCAGAAAAGCTATACATTAAAGGACAACTAACATACAACCTGATATCCCCTTGTTGAGATTGGTACCTCCTTAACACATGCATAAGACTACTGTTAAAACAGGATGATCTGAGTTTTTTCTTCTCCTGCTGCCTCTTTATCCTTCATACAATGTTTATTTGTCTATATGTTTGTGGTGCTAGTTCTATCGCCTAATTGTTAGTTAATAACTAAGTGGTAGTTTCTTTCATCTCTCGTGTGTTTGGGAGGGGTGGGCTTGTGTGTAATGTGTATATGTGTGATATTTTTAAAATAGTTAGCTTTTATTTTTATTTGCTAATCTGGAGCCCGTTTCCATAGGCAACCTCCAGATAGAGCCAACCGTAATGGTGCTTTATACGCAGACAAGAACTACAGTAAGAATTCGATTAAGTCTCTTCAGCATATTATTACTTATTAAATTTGAATTTAAGTTCTGCTGTCAATTTTACTTGTGTTTGTTTCTAACAGCAGTAAGAAAGGCTGTCCCTGAAAATCTCACAAGTAAACTAGGAAAGGAACTTCAAATAAGCTCTAGGAGTAACAGTTTCAGTGCAAGAGAAGGTCCAAGGATGAGTGCAAAGAATTATCAAACTCCAAAAAATGCTTCTTGTGTAGAGTCGAAGGATAAAGGTACAACTCAAGTGAGATCAGGGAAGGAGTCAGCAGCAGTTTCCTCAGGCGAAAATAAGCGCATTATGGTAATAACTAAAATTCATTTTTTATGCATGCATTAACTTTTCCTAAAGTTGTTCGATATAACTTTTTCTGTTAAAATAATTGGCTCTGCCTCACATCATTTGAGATTAGTCTTAAGTGTTTTTGCTGGAACAATGCAAAAGGTCTAAATGTGACTAGCTGAAGTCTTAATAAGATATGTCACTGTGTGCATATTTGTTGTCTCAAATTTTAAGGAAAATGACTTAAATTAAAATTCAGTCCCTAGTCTTGACGCCCATTTTCATGCAGCACCAATTGTTTCTTGATCCATAGGTTTTCTACTAATTGGTATTGTAACTGGTAAAGATCAAAAAGCTAAAAGTTGTCATGAACTGTTTATGTTTGCTGTTAAGGTGAACTTCATTTACTGTTTTATTGAATCATCCTTAGTTTTCACATAATATGTGGGGGGAAATTCTTCATATAAGTGGCTATAGGAATATTGTTGATATGAAACATCTTATATGTTGAAGTTCATTTACTGCGTTTCATAGAACCATTTGTAAATATGTTTTCACAAAACATGTTGGAAAAATTCTTGATAAAAGTGGGACTATTTTTGATATGAAACACTTATATTGTCTGTTTATGCAGCGGTTGACTGTGGAGACATTCTTGGAAAAGCTTGGGTTAAGCAAGTACCTGGCTACCTTCAAGGCAGAAGAGGTCAGCTCAGTCTTCATAGTTTCCATCATTTCTCGTATTTATCAAAGTCATGGTACTTAATCACATGATCTAGTTTCTAATGCATATATTTCATCTGGAACCAGATAGACATGTATGCAATGAGGCATATGAATGAGGATGACCTCAAGGCTATAGGACTGCCAATGGTAATTATCCTGGCCAACCCTGCATATCGTTGACAATTTTGCATCACTAAAGATTGATGGTTTATGCTTATCTCTTTTTATTCTTATATAATCCTTTTTTAATTCTTCTTTTTTCCAAGGGCCCGAGGAAGAAAATTCTTCACTCTCTTTCCCGTCTGAAACCAAAGAAGTGAGGACTTTCAATGTCGTGTAATATACCTGGGGGGGTGTATTCAAAAGTTTGTATAGGGGTAAAGGTGGTTTCGTTGTGGTAAGGGACATGTGTTGTGGCTAATGAGACTCTATTGTGCATGGATTAGGCTGCCTCTGGGTAGAATATGTCGTTTTTGCAATTAGCATGATTCTTGGTGATTTGTACACTGTTGAAAATTCATGTAAAGCACATACTTTCACAGTTCCTCTTTTGATATCTCAGTGCATTTGTGATGCTCGAATCACGGGATGACTCACAAATCGGAACAGTGATGCATATCGACTCTTAAATTTTGCACTTGCATGAGCGTTGCCAATACAGGTTGAAGAATATGTGCATACAGTGTTGCTGAAAAATTGGCTCTCTATTGTGTGATTGTCTTTCCTTTTCCACATTATGTTATCAACTACCAACTTGTTTTCATCGCTAAGATGGCTTCAACCCGTTCTCAGTGAACTTTTTGAAATCATATTAAGCTTTGTTCTCTAATAGCTGGAACCAATTTCTCATCGTATGTGAGTGTGGCTGTTATAGGTTTCTTTGGTGGTTGATAAATGTATGTGAGGAACTGAATCCTCTGTTGAATCCGATGTCGCTGTTTCTGGCCATGGTGAGCCTGAAACAAACTCAAGGGAAATGGTGATAGAAAGAATTGGGAGAATTGAGAGAATTGAGAGACAGAGAGTAAGAGAAAATTGGGAGACAGGGATTAGGAATTTAGAGAAAACATCTAATTTCATTCATGATCCTTCACTATTACATCCTCTCTCCCTTTTATACAGTTCAGTTACTGCTACAGGTTACAATTCTTTGTGCACGTGCACAACTAACAGTAAAACAGAAAACATGTAATATCGTTACAAGAGTGCTGAGCTGGACATCAACACTTGCTAGATTGCTGAGCTGAACATCAACACTTGCTAACAGCCCCTCCAATCTTCTAAGGACTTGCGCAAAGAACCTCCACTTGCATTCCAGGCCATATCAGTTGACAGCACCACATTGCCTCAGCACCCATCCAGGAATGGTCCCTAACAATTCCCTCCCCCTAAATTTGACCTTGTCTCAAGGTCAAAAGCAGGGAACCTCTTAACCAAATCCCAATAGCATTCCCAATTAGCATCCAGGTGTGAGCGTTGCTTTCATTTGACGAGAATTTGAGATGTCAAGCGATCCTCTTTGTCAACCGACCTCCTGTCCATAATTTGGTTTGATTCAACAACTATAAGCTCACCACGACTCATCTTTGAACAAATTGAAGAAACTTTGAATTCTGAAGTTTTTGATTGAGGAGATCAACAGCAGCTAAATTCTTCAAATCAACAATCGAAAGCTCATCATTTCCTTGCTTCTGCTCCCACTTTGGATGACCTTGCAGCAAAGAACAGCAAGCTTTGCGAAGAGAATGATAGCATTTCCCCTCAGGTGAAATATAATGAACCCTTACAATTGTTTCCGTTTGTCTAGTTTCAATCTTCCAGCCAAGAGCTAAAAGATGCTTTCTAGCTTTTTCTACTACATTGCTGACTTTGCAATAAACTTTCTTACCATTTATCCCCTCCTCATTCACACGGATCATTACAGCTTCAGGATAATATGCTGCCTTAAGATTGATAGGCTTCCAGGGCTCCGCAATACTTGAGTTTTTTCTACCAAAATTGTTTTCATAAATTCTGCTAGCTTTTTGTGAAATATCGATAAGCTGCTTATAAAAACTCCCACCAAGGACAACTGTTCGCAACTCCTGTATCAACTCTGAAACCAGCATGTGCCAAGTGGATTGAGAACCAAAAATCCAGACTTCAATTTTCTCAGAGAATGCATCAGTAGCTCTCAAATCAAACCAAATTTGTCTAACTGATACCGGCAGTTCCTCATCTTCATTGAAAGATTGAAGCACTTGAAGAAATACCCACTCACCTCGAGTTTTATCTCTAACAGCTTCTTTGACTTTCTGTACAAAATCTTCTTGGCTTTTGACATCTCGAAGTTCCACTCGCCCCATCTGCAATCCACCAGCTATTAAATGCACATGTGAACCAATGAACTTTGACACCACAGGCAGAATTTTTGGCAGCTCACTTTCAGGCTTTTCCAACAAAACATTTGCAGATTCCACAGTTCCATCAGACTCATCATCTTTCAAAGAAATATTTTTTAACTGTTCAGTAGACTGGTTGCTAAAGAATACTTCAACAAGCACTAGTAAGGGTGATATGCTTGAAACTTCTGATGAGAAGGAATATTCTAGCTTCAAGCCATTTCCATTTGCAGAATCAAGAAGCGTGCGCGATATAGGCTTAATAATACAATGAAGATCATTGATAGAAACTCTTGCCAAAGACAATTGTTGTGATACCACAACTTTCCCCTGAAGATCTACTTTTTCAGTTCCCAGGCCTATGAGCTCCGTTTGCAGAGTGTGTTCTTTACAGGTGGAAGGGAGAGATTCCTCATCGGCAGACGGCGAGTTGGCCCAAGAGGTCGCGGCGACCTGAGCAATTCCAATGTTGCCGCAGTTCCGGCGAGCCTTGTTGCTGAGCTGGCGAACGAAATTAGGCGGAAACTTGAGGATGAGAGCTGAGGATCTCAATCCTCTGCTGATTCTCTTGGCTCTGTTGCCGGCCATGGCTGAAACTGTGTTGCTGGCCATGGCTGAAACGTTCGAAACTGGCGGTTTCTTGTTGGTTTTTTTCTTCTTCTTGCTTGAGATTGGCCACGGTAGGTTCTTGAGCTTTGGCTTCCTCTTGCTTGAGGTTGGCCATGGCGGTTTCTTCTTCTTTCTTGCATCAGGGCGCTCCTTCAAAGTTTTATGAGTAACAGGACTGATCTCAATCTCAATTCCAGTCTTAGGCTTGACTGCAACTGCCTTTTGCTTAACTTCTTTGATAATGGCTTTTCTTGTATCTCCGTTGACATCAAGAACCACTGGATTCTTGTTCTGGACAGCATCAACTTGATCATTCGCAAGGAGTTGAGCACGAAAGCTTCTGGTAATTGGACGCGAAATTGGATGCAATGGCTTCCCTTCGACGACGGCAGGACGAGTGCTGACGACATTGCGTATGTCTCTAAGGGCTCGACGATTCTTGTCGTCTTGAGCAGCAACAACATTCTTGGCTTTTGCTTTTGGTATACCTTCACCAAAACTTTGTGATGGCGGAAATTCTCCACTTCGCCAAATTTCTGTAGACCTATTAGGGTTTCTGCCATGCCTCATGTAGTCAGAACTGTTGTCACTCCTTGATTCTGAGCTCAAGTTCTCTTTCTATGCTGATCCATGTCGTTCATCAAGGTCTGCACGATAATCTGGCAATGGAACTTTGCTAAAAATGACATGCTTTCCATGCCAAGGATCCAAGCAACTTGGGGAACCCACCCTTAAAAGCTAGCTGTTAAGGGGGAAGAACCAAGTCACTTAAATACCCCATCAAGCAGCCCATACTACCCGATGTGGGACTTTAGTCCCTAACATAGCACCGCCCCTGAGAGCCGACGTCCCGGCGGCTGCACTCTATGATGCTTCACTCGGCGGTGCTTTACTCGGACTTTTCCGGTCAGCCCCTCCGCCGGTCAGCCCCTTCACAGGTAGCCCTTTTCGTGACGCCGACAACCAGCTCTGATACCAATTGTGAGGAACTGAATCCTCTGTTGAATCCGATGTCGCTGTTTCTGGCCATGGTGAGCCTGAAACAAACTCAAGGGAAATGGTGATAGAAAGAATTGGGAGAATTGAGAGAATTGAGAGACAGAGAGTAAGAGAAAATTGGGAGACAGGGATTAGGAATTTAGAGAAAACATCTAATTTCATTCATGATCCTTCACTATTACATCCTCTCTCCCTTTTATACAGTTCAGTTACTGCTACAGGTTACAATTCTTTGTGCACGTGCACAACTAACAGTAAAACAGAAAACATGTAATATCGTTACAAGAGTGCTGAGCTGGACATCAACACTTGCTAGATTGCTGAGCTGAACATCAACACTTGCTAACAGCCCCTCCAATCTTCTAAGGACTTGCGCAAAGAACCTCCACTTGCATTCCAGGCCATATCAGTTGACAGCACCACATTGCCTCAGCACCCATCCAGGAATGGTCCCTAACAATGTATGTGTTGTATAAGTTAAAAGACGGCAATGTCACTGACTTGCCCGTATGGGCTATTTAGGTCAGGCTTGCTACCGTGCTGTTATCTTTATGCAGGTTATCGGGTATAGATACAATTTACTACCCAATGTTTTATCATGTTCTCTTCGCGTGTCGTCGTGCCCCTGGTCTGGATCCCTTTAACCCTTGCCAGGTTTCTGATCTATGGTCATCTAACAACCGTGAAGTCCCCAGGTACTTGTACATCATGTTGGGAAGTCCTCAAGTACTCAAGTCTAATATGTTGAGATACGTCTCGTATTCATTTAGTATCATGCGAGGCCTTTGGGCTAAGGTAGTGCTAAGATTTAGCACTATATAAGTATCTCTTAGCCTTGTAGACGAGATTTGAGGACTTTCTATAGAATATAACATGGTGGCTATTTATGCACGTGAGGTTGAGATTAGATTGAGGGGGATGGATGATTCCTCTTATAATGTCCCCTGTACATAATGTATTCTTATATTCTATAGCGTGGATGTAGATCGAACTTGATCGACCATACCAGGTAAATCTCAGTTTCTTTTCTTATTATTTGCTATTGTTTTATCTAGGAGTAATTTGATTTCTGGTTTGTGGAGATCGGAATAGGGGATCTCAACCCCTAACACATTGTTTATCCTGTACGTTATCCTTGTGTATTAGGGAAGGGAAGAGGGGTACTTTTGAATTAATCATGATGTTGATCGATGTTGAGAAAAAAGAGAGGAGATTAATATAAAGGGGAAATATGCTTCCAGCCCCCAAAACACAAGAAAACGTGCTTCTCACCCCCACGACTTTTTCAACGCCCTCAAAACCCCCAAATTCGTAACAACTATGCACTGAGCCCCCAAAACACAAAGCTCAAGAATTTTACACAGTTAAAGACTATAAGACCCTTTATCTCTCTTATGGGCATTGATCACCTCCTCCCCCCTCCAGTGCTTCTCCCTAATGTCCTTGTCCCCGACCGCCGTCGTCCCCTGCTGCGTCCGCAAGCTCAAGTACGACGAGCGCGGGCTCTACCTCAATCACCTCCTCCCTCCTCACAGCGCCAACCACATCGCTCCCCGGAGATCTCGTTGGAGGCGAGAGAAAGGACCCTGAGCTCAGCGGAGGAGGGGAGAGAGGAGGGGAGGGAGCCGTTGAGGAGGTTGGCAGAGAGGT